GGCTCCGTTTCACTTTCGGGCGCAACCATGGCGAATTACGAGGGAGTGAGAGTGAAAGGGACTAGAGTTGACTGAATTGTATACTTTTCACTTTAACCAAAAATGGCGGTCTTGCTATCGAATGAGCGGACTTCAGTGGTATTTGATGCCTCTCCGCACGCGCTTACTATTACGTTATGTACGGTCATTATGACTCGGGTCTACTAACCTTACACCGAGCTTCAATATCCACGTTACTTTGCGACCGTTGTCTGTCGCGCCAGGACCTTGTGTGGCGAGGCGTACCCTTGCCGTCCTTACCGATCACCTCACTCACTCGCGACTTCACATTCACGTACCGAGTGGCGACCGGCTCTCGCCCGCCCCCGTATTCCGCTCACGTTGTCAAATTAGTATAATAATGCTTCTGCTTATTAGATTCGGCCCAATGGATATAAAATGTCGGATTATGTCTTATTTTTTCCGGCTGTTATCAATCGCCCTATAAGGCACGGCCGCTGTAGGGCTCGCGCGTGGAGGCGTGCGCTTTTTGTTGGAGCCGGTACGCGGCGGGTTAACAGATGCGATCAGGTTCAAACCGCATGAGACATGGGTTCATAAAAGGCAACGCACGGTAGTTGCGTGAAATTGTTACGTGAGCTCGACATAGTCTCTTTGACATTAGCTTGCGTCCACGCATAATGGGATTGCGACCTTTCTTCTACCTGCTGATCGCGGTGAAGGGCTGATACACTGGCCGCCTAGTTCATTCAAAGTTGCCAAGTCCTTCACCTTCTCACCCAACTCGGTAATTCGAAGACCTCAAATTCACTCTGCCGGTGCGGCGTTACCATTATGGCGCCGACTAGTGTTGGGAAGCGGCACGCTGTTCCTAGCTCCCAAAGGCACATCTATATTTCGGTAAATACACCGATACCGATATAAAGTAACATGCGAGCATGCTGTGACCTTTGCTTGCTAAATATAGGTGTTTTAATATAACACATAATAAAAATATTTTTTTCGTTGCTAAATCACATATTTCAATTCGAATAGCGTGACTTAGATGACCTTAAATTGCTTTAGCTGCGATTTTAATTCTATAGCAACGATCACGAGTCCAGTGGCCTACCGAGTAATGACAGGTATAATTAGTATGAATTGCCGATATAAAGAAGCAGTGCTTCTGTGGCTTCTCTTGATGTTAACCCTGGCCTTTTAGCTAGTGCCGCCTTGATATTACCACACTCGCAACCACCCGTAGGCTACACACAGACACGGCGTATGCACGCGTACCCGCCACATTAAAATAATGCACGTATCCACAGTTACACATACAACGCACACGCACGTACGGCATACACTCACGCCCACATAGAGTAGGGAATGCGGAGAAGCGAGAGAAATCAGTCAGACCATGGGGAAGAGAGATGAAGATCAGAAGTCGTTGAAGCGAGAGAGAAGAGAGAGAGAGGAGAGAGAGAGAGAGGAGAGAGAGAGAGAGAGAGGAGGGATGAGGAGAGAAGACGTAAAGAGCGACAGCAGAGAGGAGAGAGAGAGAGAGGAGATGAGGACGCAGAATGAGAGAGAAGAGAGAGAGAGAAAGAAGAAAGAGAGCTGAAGAGAGGGAGAGAGAGAGGAGAGAGAGAGAGAGACGAGAGAGAAGAGAGAGAAAGAGCGAGAGAGAGGCAGATAGAGAGCCAAGGGAGACAGATCGCACGAGAATGAGAGGAATAGAGGGAGAACATAACATGCAACGATGAGGGCGAGAGCAACGAGAGTGAGGACGTGTCGAGAGGCTAAAGGTGAGAGAAGAAAGACGGAGAGAGAGAGAGAGGAGAGATGACGAGAGAGAGGAGCAGAGAGATGAAAGAGAAGAGAGGAGAGGCTGATCGCGCCGCGCGCCGCGGGGGAGAGAGGGAAGCCACTGCGCGGGAGAAAGTGAGAGGGCGGAGAGAGAGAAGATAGAGAGAGGGCGCCGCGGTGGGGAGAGACGAGAGAGAGGGAGAGAGCTCCGCGGGGGAGAGAGGGAGAGAAGGCGAGATGAGCGCCCCGGGGGAAGAGCATGGGAGAGCGCGCGCCGGGAGAGCAGCAGGGCCTGGCGCGCGGCGGGGGAAGAAGAGCGCCGCGCGGAGAGAGAGATGAGAGAGAGAGAGAGAGAGACAGAGAGAGTGAGAGAGCGAGAGAGAGCGTAAACAGAGCGAAACAAGGCCGGTGAAAGTGAGAACCACAAGAGCAGCAGCACTCGCGTGCCCGTAGGCGTTACACATGCACCGTACAACATTCCCAGAAAGAAAGACAACAGCACCTCGCTGGCCCTTGATACTCGTATAATTTTCCATTATTCGCAGCTATTGTTTGACTCCATGTTTTGTCAAGGCCAAGGTTGATGACACGGGTGCTGCCACCTTGGCCCACGAGCCAGAGGACGTGTAAAGTGTGTAGAAACCCCTTGGTGTAGCAGCTATCCACACGCGCTGCGCATAACGCACTAAATGTTTCAAGTTCATCATTTATTCGGCGGCTAAACCTTCGTTCTATACGTCGGTTGTTTAACATAGAACTCCACGAAATTACAGCCTCGACGACACCCACGAGATAGCAACAATAACCAGCTTGATGCGTTAGTTGGCTTGTGATTGGCTGAGCTAGTTCCGTGATCATTTCACGTCATTTCTTTCGCCCTCATAGCATTTCGGAACAAGGCGCATTTCGGGCGACTGTCTTAGAACTTGTAAGTTGGCATTCGTGCACGGGTTTTGTGATAAGAAAAATGCTTTGTATAATTTGTAATCACTTATATGCGGGACTATAAAATAATAGAAAATGAATTTCAGATTTATGACGCAGTAAAAGCTTATACATTGAAGTTTATATTGAGTAACTTCACGAGTATGTTTTGTTGTAGCCTCTTCCAGAGAACTTATGTGTGTAGGTACACATCACACAAGTTGGTTCTGAGAACACCAGCTAATATACGATTCCTACGAGCCATTCCTATTCCTCGACGACAGCTTCCTAAAGCCATATTATCTGGACAATATTATTCTATGTATCGCATGTTATATTATTGCATTTAATGTTAATTAGTAATTTTATTACCATAGATATTTCCCAGGGGATATTGCCCAGCTCATTATGTAAAGATATTTTCCGAGATATAATACTTGGTAACGATATTGCGAATAGTGAGTTATTGTACGGGGGTATTCCTTGGGGGGGGGATATTGTCTGGAGGGATATTCCACAATGGAGATATCGTCCGGGGATATTGCGCATGGGAAAATTGCTCAAGACAATATTGCACATATACACGGTAAATGTATAGTCTGGTACGTATAAATTTCTACAGGGTGAGATATTGAAAAAAATGTTCCAAGAAAATATTACGCGAGAGACAATATAGTACGCGATTGTCAGGAGGTTATTTCCCGATAGGATATTGCACAGGCGGCATGTATCATCAGGAATGCCATAATATAGACCATCATAGTCACTATCAGAGTGTCATAATAGTCCATTATGGTAGATAACTCTGGTAGATGGTTGCACAAAGGTGATATTTCCCTGTGAGATGTTACACGAGAGAGGTATTAACCGGATGAAATTCTACAGGGGGATATTTACACGTATATATAGATACGTGGGGAGCCCGGGATGCGTATATAACCTATAGAGATTGCCTGGGGGATATTAGTTCGAAGATATTGCATATGAACATCTTTCCTTACCCACATAAAATACACTAAACGTAGCGAATAGAGAAGAGATACTAAATCGCCAGCCAACGAGAAATATTTATTCCAAAGGCGGTTCGAACAGCGTCAGTTAACTAACAAAAAGCAGGAGAAAAACTAAATCGATCCAAGGGCAACTTGCTAGCTCTTACTAACCTAGACCGCGATAACGCTGCAAAGTTCCTTGGCGTACTGATGCCTTGACCTGGCATATATATAATTTAATAACTGAAAAAACAAAACAAATGAACATATTGTTAGTTTACGTGACGTAGCGCAGTAGGCTCGTTACGCACGATTTCAGTTCCAGCTTTAACAACTTTGCAAGGTTCGTGGGATGAAAGGCACGGAATCACAAGGCAACAGAATGTCTTCTTCCAACAATTGCTACCAGTAATATTATTGATAATCATTACCATCATTCGCATGTATACATATGTATTGCATATACATTATATACATATGCTTATACATTCACACATACATACATACGTGTGCATGCACGCACGCGCGCACCCACCCATGCACGCACGTACGCACGCACCCACACACACAAATATGCACGTGTACACACGTTAGTATTTACGTGTAATACTGATACGTAAAAGGTAATTCACTGAGTACATGCAAATTAATAGTCCAGTAGGGATACGTGAGTTCCAGCTATCGTGCTTCTCTGAAGCCGTACTGATATGTCAAAAGTATTTACTTTTAATCTGGATGTGTTTGAACCAAGAACACAAATATTGACAAATATGTTATTATTATTATTATTATTATTATTATTATTATTGTTGTTGTTGATGACGATGACATAAAGTTAACTACAATTCATATTAAATTTTAATGATACCGGATTATTGATCCGTATGATTGTGATTAAATTAAAATCGAGATGAAACACCCAGACGCACGCACGAATATACGCGCACGAACGTATGTATACGCATACAGAAAATCACACCAACGTGCGCACGCACACTCACACACGCGCGTACGTGGTTATATATGTGAATGTATATGTAAATGTGCACGGAAAATTACAAAGAAACAAGTCGAATGTCAGAAGAGGACAACTCTGATATAATCATACGATTTATTTCGTAGCTTAGCAAGTGCTGAATATATGGGCGTTCACTGCGACATTCAAACTTGACAGATGAAATATTTCATTAATTAGCAAGCCTATTTCTCAGAACATGGACTGTGTATATATGAAATAGCAGCAAACATTTTATTGCGATCCATTTAGAATAGGTTCTCGTCTTGTATCGTTCGACAATTGTAACTAACAGCTGAATCATTATAGAAACTAACAAATGCAAGAAGATGATCCATACTCTATTTAAAAAAACGCGTCTTCCCAACTTATAAAAATTACACCAGCAGAATATTCACCTACAATTTCGCCTGACCAAGCATCCCGTCTTCATCACGGAACATCTAAAGGCGGCGCGAATGTGAAACTTTTTTAGTCGGTACGTCAAGTTACGTGCGTATGTGTATGTGAGAGACGGGACGGAGATTGCACGGAAAGAAGAGGTACACACCAACCGAGCGCCCACTTGCCACCAGCAGAGCGATTAGGGCGACATCTCCCGGCCAGAAGGAGTAAGCACAAACCTGCAATAGCGAACAGGTTGCGCCCGTCAGTGCGAGTGAATGCACGGCCCCCCACCCCCTACCGCCGACAATCTAGTTCATGGGTCAACAACTTTACTCTTCGCACAGAACGCATAGAAATTCCATTTTTTTCGCAAAGTATGACAAAAAAATACTAACCCGTGCTTTCCGTTATTATCATTCACTTGCATTGCGATAAAACATCAACGTAAAATAATTTTTCGCAATAAGTTTTTTTTTGAGCGCGTGAAACCCGCTAGAGAAGGATTTTGAATCACAGTGATAAAACATAACGACATACAAACCGTCCTCGGTAACTACAATACAACTAATACCCGGATAAAATATCTTTATAAGACTAACCTGTGATTACTATCAATATCAATGCTTCTAAACCTTATTTAAAATCAATATATCACTTTCCATATAAACTTTCTTTCGACCTTTAATGACACAACTTCGTAATCCTTTTAGAATCGACAACCATAACCCCAATAAACATCACAATGCACCTGTCGATAATATATATATATATATATATATATATATATACTATATTAGAGCCTTTTGAGGCTTCGTAATTTTACCTATGCATTCGCAAACGAGTTTGTGTTAACGCTGTGGCTGCGAATGAAGGGCAATAGTTTTGTTTTGTGGCAGGAATGCTGAGATCAGGGAATTTCAGCTGCTGATAACAGTAAGATCGGCTTTAGCGTTATCACATCCCCGAATCCAACGATCACAGAGCCTTGCAATGCGACACACTGCTACATAAAGATCGACCTCGCGTATAGTTTACTGAGCAACAACAGAACATCACAATTAGCCTAAGGAATATCATGGGGGCCCTTGGCTTCAGTGATGAAATTTTTGGCAGGAATCATCAGTTTTAAATTCATAGTAAGTGTGAAGCATCATTCATCTAGCTTAATTGTACTGATGAAAATTAACAACAAGCAGTTATGGCTACGACTGAATGTTTTCATATATATTGGACCAGTATTTAAACTTGATAATTGTTTAATGCAATTTAGCTCACTAACATTTGGCAGTTCTTAGATATCTACTAGGCAGGAAATTGTGTTTAATAATAAAAGTCACATTTAGTATTTACCAAAGCGTTGAGCACTTTAGTTTGCAAAACACATTTGTAAAACTTATATTACTAAAAACAGAATTATAATAAGCCAAACGTTAATATAGAATGGCTTAACAGTTTACCTGCACACAAACATATAAACTGCTAATACATATTCCCATATAAATGTTTAGCTTACAAAGTCCCGTTTTATATACGTTTCAAAGCTCCAACAATTGCAACTTTAAGCAGTGTACTAGTTAGTATACATGCACATTTTAGCAAACGAGTTTTGAAAGCAATCTGATTCCCTATCCCAATGTCCAATTTCAATTACAAAACCTAGCAATAACCCGTCGTTCTCTATAGCAGCACAGACGCACTATACCCAATAGTTAGTAAGTAGTTCTCTCTACTTTCTCCCAATATATACTCTTTCTAGCCTACTTTGCATATGCTATATTGACGTAGCTAAATGTAAACACCTAGTGCTACCGAGCATTTAAAACTAATGCCTAAAGCAAATACAACAAAACCTGACGATACTTGTTGAACGAAATCCACGCTACGTGAGCGTCTGCTAAAGCTCTACTTCTCTATGACATGTGAACCTCGACTAAAAAACACATCGAGCGATGCAGCAGCAACGTAGACACAACCGTACATAGTGGCAGCTGCTGCCAATATTAAAGCAACCGCGCTGCGACACAATTAAGCTGAGTTTACACTACCGACTTTGTGTTGGCGAATTAGCGAATTCGACCAACTTAATTCCCAACTATACAACCGACAATCGGCAGTGTAAACGCAAAAGTTGCGCGACCAACCGATCGATAGCAACTAGTTGGGAGATTAGAACATGCTCTATTTTTGCCAACTCGGAGTTGCCGAATTGCGAAATTGGTCCAACTCGCCAATTCGCCAACATAAAGTCGGTAGTGTAAACCCAGCTTTACACTACTCCCCCCTATGACTCAGCAAGCGATCGGCAGGTTTTGTTGTTGCCGTACAACACGTGCGTTCACCGACACCGTCTGCCGTCAGCCTAATCACTCTCAGGCTCGTGTACCTCCGCCAAATAATACCTGAAGCAAATTGTGTTAACAGGTGTGAGCATCACACACACACACACACACACACACACACGTGAGGGGGTGCATGCCATGAACATTCAGCTACTAGACCCACATAATGACGACCCACCTCGATGACATCAGGAGCTAATAATACATCATTAAAATGTATTAATACAATACATCATTACAATGTATTAATACAATACATCATTACAATGTATTAATACAATACATCATTACAATGTATTAATACAATACATCATTACAATGTATTAATACAATATCATCCACAATGTATTAATACAATACATCATTACAATGTATTAATACAATAATCATTACAATGTATTAATACAATGTATTATTACAATGTATTAATACAATGTATGATTACAATGTATTATTAGCTGTTGGTGGCATACATACGACGCGGTTACCAGGATTCGAATTTAGAGCTCGAATAGTCACAATTTTAATTAATATATAATGTGATAGACGGACATGAAGGGAAGTTGTTTCAGAAGAGACTGTGAATGTTTAGACACCACTGTAGCCATAGCGTACATTAAAAGTTTGAATTCACTCCTAATACTGCATGACCTAATTGACCTTACACGAACTTTAAATTTAATCAGACAAGAATATGCGAGTCAGTACTGAGCGTCACCCGATGTGCGAAGTGCATTGACTTTAGTTTGCACAAGAACACATACGCTGTGTGCCTATTTGAAACTACCAACAGTATGCTAGAGACATCAACATCTAGATACTACCAAGAGCGTATAATGACAAATATCTGTCATTATACGCTCCTGATACTACTCCTACGGGAGATAAATAGATAACGTTTACATGAGAAAGAATTCATTCAGACGTCTTTTTTGATAGTGTATACACACTGGGTAGTTTTGGCAGGTTTCTAATAAATTCAAAGTTAACTACAGCTTACATCGTCGGCACATCTACGTTTGATAGCTCATGTATAACAGCTGGAGCGTTACATAGTTAATCCACCTGTGGTCATTATGAAAGATCTAGTAGATGTTCTTAATGGAAGCCATTGCAGTTTTGCATCACGTTTTTAGGAAGCATGGCTTGTGGAAAATACGACCAGTTATTGCCTTATTAGCACCGTTTACAATTAAGACAAACTTTCATGCACTTTCTTTGCCAATTAAATTGGCCAATCAGTATAACATTTTCCATACAAAAGGTTCATGCTAAAAATGGTTAATGACATCTCAAGAAACAATGCTTCATATTAACAAAAACATCATAGAAAACAAATAATAACTATAACGTGAAAGTAATAAAAATAAAACAACCCGTACATGCTCAGCTACATACAAATTATTAATAATTATAAACAACATTTCTCGAAACAAAAAGCAAATACGCTCACAGAAATCACAATTCTAGCAACAGCTCTCCAACATAAATTCTTACAAGAAGCAATATATATACACACCCACACGTGCATGGTAAGAAACCACATTCGGAAAACATCTTTGCACTGTCACCCAATTTCTAAAACTACGGGTCACACATACACCAGTGCAGTGCAAGTATTAATGAATTTACGGTCACATTTCCACACTATTTCTAGAGGGCATGGACTTGCATGCAGAAGCAACTTGTGAAGCTCCTTAGTCATCATGCAGTTAGCTCGTTGACCAAAAACTCCAACCATGATCCTCAACAACCTCTTGCAGAACAAACCTGACCAAGGTTAGAAGGTTAGTACAGTACTAGAAAGGCTTGAAAGATAAAACCAAGTGTTGCCCACCACCAACAGTGCCCACAACGCTTTATTTATTTATTTATTTATTTATACATTTAGGCAATTATCCATCATATACAATACATAGCATACTTTTACAATAAAATTCTGAATTCATAAAATTGGATAACTACCAAGGATATATACACAAAAAGCATGACTAGCACACTTATTTACATTGTGGTCCTTGTTTTGCTATGCCTTGAATCTAACAATTACACTACTATCAGCACTAACGCAGATAAGGTCTATGTCCCCCTGACCTCTGTTTGACCTGGCTCGTTTAGCTATTTCTGACTAATATATATATATGGTTAGGGTTAGGGTTATTCAGAAATAGCTAAACGAGCCAGGTCAAACAGAGGTCAGGGGGACATAGACCCTACGAGCAGCACTAACTATTGAAATATACAAATTTGTAGTTTTAACCGGGCATACAATGGTAAATTCTCATAAGACGATACAAACTTTTCTTATGTCTAATTTCAACCGAATTCTTTTAGCCAAAATCATACTCCTCTGCCTCTAATGTTTCTACATTTTCCATCAGACATTTCTTAACACTATACTTAAAACTAGAATAAACAGAACTTGTCCTAACTTGCTGTGGTAGAGAGTTCCAAGCTTCAATTGCAGTATAAGTAAAAGAGTTTTTCCTACTGCTTCACACCCTCGGTTTAAAAATAGACATCTCACCTTCCCTTGTATTGAAACTATAGACTTCTGACGTTAACATGAAACCTTCTGTGATATACTGTGGGCCGAGATGTATTATTATATAATATTATTATATTTTTATAATATAATTAC